GGGGGAGGGGAGGGGGGGTGAGGGTGTTTACAGTACGCATGAAGAAAAATCACCCAAAGTCCATCACCTCTCCCAGAAGGCCAACGAGTACGACCTGTCCCCTCCCAACAATGAGCAAGTACGACCCCCCTTTACAACGTCCATGAAGCGAGAAAAATCAACTATCAAAATAAATTTTTCTCAGCCCAAATACGACCCCCCTCTCCTGGCGACCAAATACGACCCCCCCCCCTATTGGGGATTCCCCAACAACGATGTGCCCTGAGTGAAGATTATTCTGTCTTTGAACATTACAGGTCTTCTTTGATTACTACGTCTTCTTGAAAGAACGTGAAGAGGCATTCCTGAATGACAGTCAGCAATCAACACAGTACTCCCCGGTATCTTCTCAGGATAAGTGAAACAGGGTAAAATTAAGTCAGTAGGTGTAGGTATACTGAAATGCAAATGAACTATAAACTTTTCATTCATTCGTAACTGAAGACAAGATTACGCGAAACCTGTATAAACTTATGAAAGTATTCACTCCACGCTATACATGGAAATCATTAATAACATAATTTATACAAATCCTCCTAAAATCTCACCGGTATACAAGAATTAACATATTTATGTAATAAACCAAATACACTGCCAATATTTCTAGTCCTCGCGGTACCTTATATCGTAGTCGCCATAATCGGCATACTCTGGAGTACTTTTACGAGATCGATCACCGCGAACGTAATCGTCATCCGAATCGTCCTCTTCGCCTTCGTATACTCCCATTTCGAAACCTTCAAGGCGACGTCGCATGCGCTCCAAAGCGAAAGGAGATTCGTCATGTTCACCATCGCGGTTTCTACGGACCTAGATGGAAAAAGAACCTGACTGACGAAGTCGGTTATTCACATTAAACGTTAAGAAAAACAGCAAATTGTGCGAGAAACCGAACACCTAGAAATTCTTACAGCAAAGATTCTGTTTCCATTAAAAGCAGTGGGCAGGATGGTTGGGGAGTGGCGATTGTTACCAAACTCATTCGTCGAAGGGCTGCGGGAGGGCGTTTGGCCACACTTGACCCTTCCACCAATGACGTTGGTAGCAACCGCCCGCCCCGAGCCATCGTGCTCACTTGAAGATATCCCGAACATTCACCTCCAAGAACGTCCCTTACTATGTAGGAGATCAATGTGCCCACACCTGCATCAACGTGCTACTTTGTCCGCTCTCACTGCACCGGAGCATCGCTACCCTCCGGGCCTGGAGGGTAGCGATGCTCCGGTGCAGTTCTGGACTCCGGGAGAAGGGCAAGAGGATCGTAATTTGCCGCTCCGTCGCGCGCGGCGTTTTCTTAACCTGGTAATTGGAGCACCGGACTTCATGTAGACCCCGTCATCGTAGACATTCATGACTATTTTCGGTTCTGAATTGCCTGTTGTCGCCATCTACTACCTGGAACCATCGTCATTTGCGGTGCGACGTCGCACGCGACGCCCACTGACGCGGTGAATTACGATTCTCTTGTCACATACCCCCGGACTCCACCCGCTATCAACAACGTATCGGCATATGCGTCTATACCAAGACTTCGCGATGAACGCAGAGATAGGGAGCAACCAGTATTGAGAGGGCTCACAACTAGCGTAATTGGACATGGTTAGGCTTGTGGCTGCACGTGCGGCAACCGGGCGGAGTCGAGAGACGACTTTTGGGTAACACTACCCTGCAGTCCCTTAGTTATCGCTCTCTTGACCAGAGTGACTTGCTGCTGCAGCTGCAGACCCATTCATCTTCACACATGGCAAGGACCATGATCATGTGAGTTTACATTTCAGTTTACATTTTGGATGTCGTAATGAAAATGTCAAAATCAGAGTTCAACAGATAAGGTAAGAGTAAACTTCTATATAATCCATATAGCCATTGCAAACGAAATGAACGCAAATTCAAACATACCATTCTATCATCCTCATCATAGTAGTTCAAATCCTCGTCTTCAGTGTCGTCGTCCTCGTCATCGTCATCCTCTTCTTCAGGGTAATCATTTCGCCAGTTGTTTTCGTCGTTCGAGTCATCATCATCATCTGCTGCACAATCGCTTTCAGAATCGGAATTTCCAAGAAGCAGCGTTTGCTCTTCCCTAAACATAACAAATACACTCGAAAGATATTAGTGAAGAGAACCAACGCACTCAGCCCTCCCCCTCCTTCTGAAAAAAGATAAAAACTTACTCAGTAGCGAATCTCAGCTCAATGTCGGAATCCCACTGCTTTATGGGTTCTGTCATCGAACCTCGATATATTTTGTAATAGTCGTACCTAACGGCCTCATTTTCCTCAACATTATTATCTCCCTGAAATTGCTACACATAAACAAATCAGAGGACCAGGCTAAATTCAATCAATTATGAATTAAACTATCACTTGGAATGTTTTCAAAAGTTGAGCAGGTTGAGTTGAACATTTCAACAAAACATTTAATGCCACAAAACTGGCGCTGGTAAGCTGGGGGAGGAGGGGGGAGATGCCATGCCATACCCGCGAGCGCTTGCCAGATGTATGTCCTTGTCTTTGTTTTTTGCTTTGTTTTTCACAGCCAAGTATCACACTGTAAATCCTGTTAGTTCTGCCGAATACCCTGTAAACTCACGTCACTTGATCGCCATTTGTCCAATTTCTCCCACATTTTGACCAGACATTTTGTGAAGTTTCGCATGGATTTACCACGCGTTTGACAAGTGATAACAAGGCTTACAGATATGTTTACGAGCAGTAGTTTACAGTGCGCTTGATGAAAACGAGGCCTATGGGGGGCAAGCTTGTCTGCATCCTTTGCACATGTACACAATTCACAAGTTTTTGTATATTGACAAGCGCTCACAGGTGCAACATTAAACAACGATATCTTTTGAATGGCAATACCGCAGGAAAGGGTACAGCATCGTGATGTGTGAAATGGTGGTGTCAGTACGACCCCCCCCCAGGAGGGTGGGTATAGATACGACCCCCGCTGAAAGACCCCCCCCCTCCCACTGCCCAACACCTACCTACCACTTTCCTACAAGTTTCCAGCTTCCTAGCAGTTTTTCCGAAATTTCCCACATTTTCCAGTTTTTCACCCAAAATTTTTCCGTCGCGGAAGGGGAAGGGGGTTGTCTATAGCCAATGTGTAATGGGAAAAACCGCTTTCTTCCCAATGCGGCAAATTTCTCTCGGGCACATACGACCGACAATGACCAAGTACGACCTCCACTCCCCCCTATTGCTGTTTCACACAACGTTGCTGTACCCTGCTCACACATTTTAGACCTGGTTCTGAGAGCTACGTGTGTGTCTCAGCACCTATGCGTTCCGACGAACTGGTGAAAGAAGTTTTGGTGGGCCCGATTCGCCCTATGATCTATCTCATTTGACATAGCAACGCTGCATGTGTCATGTCATTTATATCTGACAGGGAATTACACTTTTTGCGCAGGGCTGGACTCAGATGACTGGCCCACACCCTCGAGGACTTCACTTTGCACAATGCCAGCACAGGGGCGGTTACCATTGAAGACCATATTTCTACGTAAAAGTGAATTTAATATAGGGTCAAATTCTTGCCAGAACAATAAGTTAACAGGAACAAGTTAAAAAAAACTCAATGCCGACGTACCATAGAATCGTCAGTTGGACCAGCTGAACCTTCATTGCGCTCACCAATGAATTCAAGACCTTTGCCTTCAGCTTCATCTGAAACAGTATAAACTGAAACAATGCCGTTCAACATACCATGAGACGGGAAGATAACGATAATTTAGAGACTACTATATGGGCGAAAAGGAAATAAATAACTAAAACTAAATAATAAATAAATAACTAAATTTGAACCTGAACATCCAGCCTTAAATTCGATTACTCGTGCACCAGTTATTCCATCCGAAGCCTCATCAGCAGTCTCAGTTTTGAATAGTGAGAAAAGCAACGGATCTTCCTGAAGAAGAAATGGCACCTCATTGAGAACATGATGATCCTTATCAGTTCCTCCCTCAAACCACAACCTCCGCGACTGCCAGTAGTTGGAAATGCAGTTCAAAAGTAAAAGTGTGGGTGCCCAGTTTAAATATAGAAAAAGCGAAAGACGATCGAAAACGTTTGGTCAGGCCATACTAGTTCATTTCATGGCCGCCTGTGCGCATCCTCAAACTGAGTCGCTTTTTGGTTTGCGACATTTCGTTAATCCAAAGATATTTCTAATGCAGAACCTTTGAGGCATCGAACGCCAAGGCCCTAAAGTTAATATCAAAAATGGGACAGCTAGCACACTAACACATACCGGAGTTCTAATGAACCCCAAGGCCAGTTTCCTACTTTCAGCCCCTACAGAATAGAAGAAAAGGGAGATTGGAGAGTCCAAGCATAATAAGTGGAAATTCATTACCACATATAACCATTTCGTACTTATTCGATGTTATTAGTGGCGCAAGCCTAGGAACGCGTATGAAAGGAACAACTCTCTGATCAAAGCTACGATAGGCGAGTGTCCTGTCACGAAACAGTCAGCCGATAAAGGACAAGCAAGAAGCGAAACAGAAACAACCAGTGAAACACCCTAGCAAAAACCCTCATGACAGTCACACACCTCTTGTGCGGATAAGTCCAGGAGCTGTTTGCCATAGCGGCACACTACGGCTTCAGTGCGACCCCTGGCTCACAAAAGCTTCTTCGCATTTTGCAGTATTAAATGCCATCTAATACTAGAAAAAAAAGAAAACACAAAGAAGTTGGCAACACGAAAATGGCATTCGAGACTTTGTGCATGAAATGCACAAGTAGGAAAAGCACAGATACCTTCTGCACAAATCACTTGTATCGCTGCCGTGTTAGAGCAGCGCCTACGCTTCTGCCTTCCGAGTGCGAATCAGCTTACAGTTATTAATGGCATTTCATAGAGGTATCCAGCGGCTAAGAGCGTAACTAATGAGCTCGAAAAGATAACAGACTAAGATTCTCTTCGACCAAGCATATTAAATCGTCCTACGACGCTGCAGGCAACAGAATACATACACGTAATTCACCGTGTAAGTCGTTGTTTTGCAGAGTAAAAAGAACAAAATCCACAAGAGTCACGCCTCTGCGGCCGTTTCTTCTCGCCCTTCCGAGTAAAAAAAGTGGTACGCTTCATGTGAGTGCGGAACCGGATGCCAAAGCATTCGCGCCAAAGGATAGATGAAATTTCGATCGACTCCTATTATTTCGAACAACCAGATCGATGCCTATACTTTTCATATACGTACATTTTCCTACAGTTCGACTCCCCTGTACTTCAAGGTCACAAAATATGACTGCCTATAAAGGTCAGGTGACAAGAAAATCGTAATTTGCCGCGCTGATGGGCGTCGCGTGCGACGTCGCCTTCACAAAGGACACGGTTCCGCGTCGAAATGGCGACAACAGGCAATGTAGAACCGAAAATAGTCATAAGTCCGCAGTTTCGTAGCACACGTGGAATCCGGTGCTCCAATCAACAGGCTAACACGAATAGAGAAACGTCGCGCCCATCACCGCGCGCGGCAGAGCGGTAAATTACGATTCTCTTGCCCGTCTCCCGCCTATAAAACCTTTCTCTATTTTCAATACTCGTATCCACCTATGGCAAAAGAAATGACACTTATTAAACTGACGCCAAGCCTCACAGGCGAAGAAACCTACTGTGAAAACGTTGAAAAATTAGGAATGACACAATTAACGAACCTTCCGCTTTTTCGTTTCCATGATAAGCGCTGCATGTGGATCGGCGGATCGTTTGCGCCGTACACGAATAATTGGCATAATATCTGCCATGTTTCCTGAAAGTTACCGACAAATTACTTGCGTGTTATGAAAAGAATCAATAAGAACGATTGAGGACACTTAAGAATGGGAAAAGATCCATTGGTCACACATCAAAATAAAAACTGGCGCTTCTGGAACTGGACTGGTGACCCTCACAGAAAAAAGGCTCGTGATAAGTGTTCCCAGGAAATGTCCATCACCCAAGAACCCAAGTATGTGGGCAAAAATGGAAGGAAAGGAAGAAAAAGGAATGATCATGTGGAAAATGGGGAGTTTCAAGTTTTCTTGGCTCATCACCAACCTACACAGGACTATGTCCACCACTGATAGAGCGGTCCCGTACGGGTTACCATAAATTGCCCAAATTCGGGTACATATTTATCCATAGTGCCTTTTTCCTAAACATCCAAAACTCTCACAAGATCAAAGATCAGGCCACTTGTGAGCAAGTCTTTTTGAAGTGCATCAACTAGTCTGTTAAGAAGAACAACAGCAAACTTGAACACGAATGAACAAAGCTCAGAACCCCCAAATAGAAACAAACAAAATACTGTTGGAAAAAGAAGCGATGTGAACCAACCCCCATAAGCATACTAAATAAAGAAATGGAAAAATATTTTCGAAGTATTGCCCTTGATCAGCTGATACGGATGACGAGCAAACCATGATTAAACAGCCTGTTTGTTCTGCTTGGAAGAGCGCCACGATTTTTCACAGCTGTCACTGTGTGTAACTGCAGACGTCGTTTATCACCGTACCCTTACGCCTAGTTTTGTGCGAGAGAGTAATGTTAGGCCTCGTTCATAGCAAGCCCTATT